TCCCCAGCCGGCTATGGGGATTCTGGGAGCGGAAGTCCACACGTCTTCAAGATGCCGAGGCTGAACATCCCTGCTCTAGAGATGCTTTCATCTGAAGGTCACCTCGAGGGGGATGGAATATTCTTTATTGGCCAGGTGTGATTAGACGCGCAAGGAATTTGTCTCTGGGGCGCAAGCTCTCAGTGTACATACAAACAAGAGATAAGTCATAAATCATACAGTTCTTGATAAGTTAAAACAATCAACCAGTGGAACAGTTGCCTCCAGAAGTTGTGGGTGCTCCATCATCACTGGTGTCAAGTTTCCAAAAGATGCCCTAATTAATTCATGAGCCATGATCCAAACTTCAAAGGAAATATAGTCATTTATTAGGAGCAACATTCCGGCAATACTGGGACGCAGTTAGGACTGATCCTACGTAGATTTACGTTCCCCTATGACCCTGTCTCTCCCCTCCTCTCTGGCCATGTTATAAATCACATTCTCCAATTAACCACTTTGGCTGGCTGTGAAACCTAACACCCTCCTTCTGATTGCGGTCGGAAAGAATGTATGGAATTCACTTCAGTTCTCCCTCCCTCCTGCTCATGGCAACTTGAAAGCTTTGCAAGTTGACAACTGGAGGTTTTTAAGAAGAGACCGGACAGCCCCTTGTCTGAAATGGTATAGGCCAGGGTCTCCTGCTTGAGCAGAGGGTTGGACTAGAAGACCTTCAAAGTCCCTCCCAGTTCTGTTCTGATTGAATTTCTAAAATTCTGCATTTACTTAGCCCAGGCAAACATTAAAAGGCATCTTGTGAAATGTACGTGGTCCTTGCTCAGCTGCGGAGAACTTGAGCCGAGAAGGAAACGAAACGTTTTCAAAGGTGGGAAAAACAAGAAGGAAGGAAGGCCAGGTGTTTTTGTAAAAAGCATCTTTGGGATTAAGCTGCAATGCTCTGGCATTAAAGCTCGGTTGGCAAGTGGGTATCAAGCCCTCCCAAGTTTATATAGCTTGACGAAGGGCCTTCCCTGCATAGGATGAGATCTAGCCCCGATTTGGGTTCTGCTTTTTTTTTTTTGTCCAAATAGTGAGAACGAAAGTGCAACGCATTCACTTCATACACCAAGGAAAGGACGTCGGCTTGCTTCAGGCCCTGATTAAACAGCGGAAACCCCTCAACACACGGAGTTATTTAAAGCAGCTGGTCTGGTCGGTTCTTATTCCCAGCCCCCCCGGTTCAATCTGCTATTGATTCAGCCTTCGCTGCGGTGTGCTATAAATTAATAGGCTCTTTTGTTGCTGTTAGAAGATGCATTTAGAGCTGGCCATTAATAACTCCGTTAGGGGAATTGAAGTTTTGGATTTAAAATCTTCTATTCCTTCAGGAGTTTCAAGGGCTGTTTCGCACATGAAGCATTCAGGTTGTGTACTGTGGACATCACTGTGGGATGTCACAGATAGTCCTTGATGTCTATGGAGGTTCTCCATTCTCCGGGTCATGGTTGTCCCAAAGGTGCTTTTTCAAGAGGCAACTGGATTTTCTGGTGTTTCTTTTGAAGACATTTCACTTCTCATCCAAGAAGCTTCTTCAGCTTTGACTGGATGGTGAGGAATGGAAGGATTTATATTCCTTGCAGACAGCTGGTCATTTGCATCCTTTTAGAGGGTCGTTGAAGCCACCTGGAGGTTTATCTGTGTCCTCAGGGTCACCTGAGTGGGGCTCCTGGTTCCTGGAGTCTGCAATTTTTTCCTCTGGAAATCCATTCCTCCTCCCACACCATTCCAAAGTGTCCATCCCAAATTGTATAGCTAAAAGTCTGTAGAGATTCTCAGTCATGTTGTCCCAAAGGTGCTTTTTTCAGGAGGCAACTTGTTTTTTTTCTTTTGAATACGGTCAAAAGACGAACAGAGGTAGATATTCAACCATGTTGATCAATCATGATCAACCTGGTGGTGGTTAAATCGAGGATTACCTCCAGGGATTTACAGCAGTAGTGGGATTCAAATCCAGGCGCTACCGGTTCACTATCGGTAGCGCGAGCGTGCGGCGCTTCTGTGCACGCGCAGAGTGTTTTTGGTGACTTCTGGGCGGGTGGGCGGAGTCTCCTGCCGCCACCGCTACCGGTTTTCCCGAACTGGGGCGAACCGGGAGCAACCCACCACTGATTTACAGGTGAAATAAAATGCTTATTTTGGGATCGGCACTCCTGCTTCCCCAGGTTTTCCATTTCAAAAGCCTGAAATATTTTCCTTTTTTAAGCCGTTTAAAGAGAGCTCGAAAGGTCCACAGGAGAAAAGGGGTGGGCTGCCCACGCCTTTCTGTGGCCTCGGACTTTTTGATGATCTGCAAAACCAAATGCAACCTTGTGGAGGAAAAAAACCCCCCGAAATTTCTTCCCCCAGGACCGTCTGACGCTTCGGGAGGGGGGGACAACCAGCTTCTGATTCAGCTCAACCCTAAAAGCTTCTCCAGGCTTGTAACCAAATATGGTCAATACATTCACCGAAGGAATGTCAGCGAATCAGGTGAGCTGTCAGTCAAAGGGAACCTCGCTGAGCAGAAAACAAAACCACAGGAAGATGACTGTGCAGAACGAGAGAGAACGGGGGCCAGTGGGAGCGAAGCAGCAGCCAAGGTTGCCTTTTATGGTTAAAAGGGGGAAAAAAAATTAGCAACAATAAACTTCGCTGCAATCTGAATCTACCCTTAAGTTAAATTTAACCAGCGGTGGTCAAATGACTTAACAAGCCAGAGGTAGAAGCGTCATTTATGCATTTAATTTGTCTCAGGTGTGCAATGCAATGCTTTTTTTCCTTATAAGGAAGGGGGTTTTTTTGTCCTCCTTAAATAATGCGGATGTCCTTGACTTATGACCATAATGGAGCCTGCCCATTAGGGTCATAGCAATAGCACTTAGACTTACGGTATATACTGCTTCACAGTGCTTTACAGCTCTCTCTAAGTCAGCCTCTTGCCCCCAACAATCTGGGTCCTCATTTTACCGATCTCAGAAGGATGGAAGGCTGAGTCAACCTTCGAACTGGATCTGGATCGAACTGCTGGCAGTGGGCAGAGTCAGCCTTACTGCAATTGGAGAGGGAGGAAGGGAGGGAGGGAGGGAGAGAAAAAAAAAGAGAGAGAGAAACAGAGAGAAACAAATAGATAGACACAGAGAGAGAAAGAGACATAAATAGCAATAGCCCTTAGACTTGTATACCGCTTTACAGTGCTTTTACAGCCCTCTCTAAGCAGTTTACAGAGTCAGCCTCTTGATCCCAATAATCTGGGTCCTCACTTTACCAATCTCAGAAGGATGGAAGCAGAGGTGGGTTTCAGCAGGTTCTGACCAGTTCTGGAGAACCGGTCGCAGAAATTTTGAGTAGTTCGGAGAACCGGTAGTAAAAATTCTGACTGGCCCCGCCCCCATCTATTCTCTGCCTCCCGAGTCCCAGCTGATCGGGAGGAAATGGGGATTTTGCAGTAACCTTCCCCTGGAGTGGGGTGGGAATGGAGATTTTACAGTATCCTTCCCCTGCCACGCCCACGGAACCGGTAGTAAAAAAATTTGAAACCCACCAGTGGACTAACCCTACCTTTGTTGGATCTTGGGTGAGGGCCTTTGCCTATGAATAGACCTAGCTATCTCTTTACTTCTTAAGTGTGGACATCTGCTGTGGGCTATTGAGGAGGGTGGGGGCTATTAGGAGTGAGTCTGTGTCCTGCCTAAAAACATGTTTCTCCATTTCTCATCCAGGGAAATAGAACATTCTGCCTTTTTAATATTTCCTAGAATATTTCATTTTCCAAGGAGAGGGGTGAGTGCTAACTTCCTACAATATAACCCCAGCACGGTTTTGTTCTCCTTGGCATCAATGGCATCACGCGGAAGCGTAGCCCGGATCTTTGTGGCAATTGCACAACAATGAAAAAATGTGGAAGGCGGTGATTTTGACTGCCGAAATGGCTTATTCAAGGCGATCAGTGTGGAACTCAAGAGGGGAAACAGCGCAACGGTCCTCGTTTGTTGCACAATTCTCCTTTCATCCCTTCTGAACAGCTGGGCACACCATGAAAAGGCCCGTTTTTCTCCTGGAACGCGTTGTGCGTTAATAAACATCCCACTGCCATCGTGTGGGCATCAGCCCAAAAAGCACAAGGCGGCTGGCACCATCCTGGGCACTTTTATTCACACCCAGCCAAGCTGCCACCCTTGCTGCCTGTGAGGTTTGCTAAAGGCAGGGGAGGCTGATCTGGAGCAAAGGCAACGGCCAATGGCAAAGTCTAATCTTTCCACTTGGATATTTCTGCACCGGTAGTTCAACGAGCTGGAAGAGAATCTTTAAGATGCAGAGTTTGTCTTTTGCAACCAGCTCTCCTATTGGCATGTATTATTGTAGAAGCATGAAATTGGGCATGATCTGGATGGACAGACACAGAATTAAAAACCTCCAGGAGAAATAAAATGAAATAATCTGCCTTAGCCCCCTGCGCCTGCTAAATTGTGATAATTTAAAAATAAAAATAAAAAAGTTCCCCTGGGCGCAATCGGGATTCGAACTCGCGACTTCAAGACACCTTTGAGGCTTCTGTCCGGCTCGCCCTTAGGAGGGTTCTCATTGGCTACGACAGCTGAAAAGGAAGACGCTCTTTCCCGCAGGAGGGCGCTCGCATCTCCTCAACCTCCACACCATAGAGTACAACATCTAGAAAGTCAACCCCTTCGTTCTTCACTTCCGGCGTGACTGCACAAACTCCCAGGAGGCTTTACCACTGAGCTGCCGATGCCTAGAATGGCAGTGATACAAGCACAGGAATTCCGCTTTTGAGGCGTTTTAAAGCCACATGAATGACGGAGGCGGTGACGCAACGTTTAGAACCGCCCCTCCTCCCCGGAGGTCCTCTGACGCTCCCATTGGCTGAGTGCTCTGTTGCTCAAGCGGGCTCTGGGGCGGGGGGCGGGGCCCCAGCTGGCGGCTGCTCGGAGCTGAGGAGGGCGGCGGCGGAGGGGCGGGGGGCGGCGCCGCGGAACAGCGAAGCCGCTGTGGGAAATCGAGCGGCGGGGATCCCTCCGGGCCTCCGGCACCGTCCCTACGAAGCGAGGCGGCGGCTGCCGCGAACTCTCGGCCTTGACGGAGGGGGCGGAGTCCGCCCGGGGCCGCCTTTATTATTCATGCGCGGCGCGAGGCATGGTGGGTGGCCCTCATTGACATTCATGAGCCTCATGAATATTAATGTATTATGAATATAAAGGGGAGGAGCTTTGGGGTTTTTTCCCCCTCCCCTTTCTTTGTTTCTCGCTTCCTTTACCAAGTTTTCCAGCTGAGTTAGTCCAAATAGGTATGTTTTCTCTGCATGTTTTTAATAATAAGTAAAAAGGAAGACTCCGTCTCTTTTTTAAAAATTTTCTTTGCACAACCACCTTGCAAGGTAGGCCAGCCTGCATTCCTTGCCCAAGTCTTGGGCAACTCATTAAATTTTCCTGCCTCTGCATGCACTTTGGGCTGTTTGCTTAAGGCTTCCCCTGGCCTCCCTGCCTTTCTCTCCTTTTGCACTCTTTCTTTGGCAGATTTTAATTATTTGCTCAATTTATTTCCTGCCCGTCTCGCTACGGGGCTACTCTGGGCAGCGATAAAACAGGTGAAAAATGATTTAAAGTGTGTAAACGTAACATTTCTTTTTCTTTTTTTGCCAGAAAGCTGGGTTGGTCTCTGGCAGCCAAAAGTATGGAGACGTTAGGCAACCCTATTCCTTTTAAATGTTTTTTTGCATGTATTTTGAACGTATATATTTATTTTTTATGATATTTATGATAGAAAGACTTACCTTATAGTTCCCAGGTTCGAATTCTGGCTGCGCCCAAAGGGAATATTTTTTAGTATTGGAGTGTAGCAGCCGCAGGGACCTCAAGCCAAACAATTTATATTTATTTTTATATATATTGCGGCTCAGTTCATCCAGGGCATGGAGAAGCTGGACTTGGCACCTCTCAAAAGCCTCTGTCTTTTAATGTGTGTGTTTATGTGCGTACAAGGATAGATAGCTATAGACAGATGATAGATAGCCAGGTAATTGTTAAATGAATTGCATCTGATTTTATGATTATTATTATTTTTTTTTGCCACAATTGAGCTCAGGCTCAAGGTTGACTCAGCCTTCCATCCTTTCGAGGTAGGTAAAATGAGGACCCGGTTTGTGGGGGCAATAAACTGACTTTGTATAAAAAAGAACACCACTTAGGGGGGGCCCGAAAGCCCTACTAAGCAGGTATATACAAAAAGTATGAAGGCTATTGCTTAACGCATTGTAAGCCGCCCTGAGTCTCCGGAGAAGGGCGGCATATAAATCGAACCAATTAATTAATTAATTAATTAATTAATTAATTAATTAATTGAATCCAGTTTCCCCCTATTGTCCTTGCTTGTTGGAACATGGCTATGAAAGTTGCAAATGGTGAACGCATAATCCCCAGGATGCTGCAACCATCGTAAATACATTGGGATCCACCCCTCTTAAAGTTGCCGAGTTTAAAAACCTCTGCTTTCTCCGCCTCTCAGGTGCTAGGTTCCAGATTTCAGTTCCACCACGGTTAGAAAATTGGTGCAGCCACCAAAAGGGGAAGCGTAAATGGTTTTAACACCAGCAACCTCTTTATTTATAAATGGCTGAAAATCAGAAAGCTAAACCTGGTGTCTTAACGGTGTGTTTTAGAAAGGCTGGGTGTTTTTTTCCCCCCTTTTTCTTTAACCAGGTCCCTGCTCCATGATTATCGGTCTACCACCGGCCAAGACACAGCTTGTTTGACGAGATGAGAACATAAAGGACCCGTATTTCATCCGTTAAATTCCTCCACATTCTGGGCAAACCTTTGACGGGAGTCACATCAAGAAGAAGAAGAGGAAAAAGCAATTACTTTTGTTGGAAGCCCGTATTTATAAAAAGAGGTAATTGCCTTTTTCTTTCTGATTGGTTTCATTCTGCTAAGCAAAGAAGCAGGCAGCATTCATTGCGCGTGATATATTATTATTCCTGATATTTTCCATATGTGTGTGCGTTCGCTCAACGGCCACGTGGTTCACTTAGCAGCTTCCGTAACTCACTTAACAGGCTGTAAAAATTGCGCCCGGCTCTCGCTGAACAGCCTCGTTGCTTAACAACAGAAGTTCTGGTCCCAACTTTGGTTGCAAGTCGAGGACCACCTGCAGAGAAAACCCGTCCTTTAACGAATCCGCCTTTCCTGGTTGGGTTGCTTTCTGGCGCTGCCCGTGTTCGCGAGAACAAGCTTTCGAGAAGTTCCCTGTGTTTTGTAACATCCTTTTCGCCTCCTCCGATTTCTCTTCGGGCCTTTTGAGGTGTTTCAGGTCGGGGAAATGGGTTGCGCAAGGACTCCATGTGGTTGTGGGTTTGTTGCTGGGTTTAATAACAGGGTCCTAACGTAACAGAATAACAGATTGGGAAGGGGCCTTGGAGGTCTTCTAGTCCAACCTCCTGCTCAAGCAGGAGACCCTACACCGTTTCAGACAAATGGCTGTCCAGTCTCTTCTTTAAAAATCCCAGTGAGAGGGGAAGGGAAGGGAAGGGAAGGGAAGGAAAGGAAGGAAAGGAAAGAAGGAAGGGAGAGAAGGGAAGGGAAGGGAAGGAAAGGAAAGGAAGGAAAGGAAAGGAAAGGAAAGGAAGGAAAGGAAAGAAAGAAGGAAAGGGAAGGAAGGAAAGGGAGGGAAGGAAAGGAAAGGAACGAAGGAAAGGGAAGGGAAGGAAAAGAAAGGAAAGAAGGGAAGGGAAGGAGGGAAGGAAAGGAAGGAAAGGAAAGGAAAGGAAAGGAAGAAGGAAAGGGAAGAGAAGGAAAGGGAAGGGAAGGAAAGGAAAGGAACGAAGGAAAGGGAAGGGAAGGAAAAGGAAAAGAAGAAAAGGGAAGGGAAGGGAGGAAAGGAAAGGAAAGGAAAGAAGGAAAGGGAAGAAGGAAAGGGAAGGGAAGGAAAGGAAAGGAACGAAGGAAGGAAGGGAAGGAAAAAGGAAAGAAGGAAGGGAAGGAAAGGAAAGGAAAGGAAAGGAAAGAGGAAAGGGAAGAGAAGGAAAGGGAAGGGAAAGGAAAGGAAAGGAAAGGAAAGGAAAGGAAGAATAACAGAGTTGGAAGGGGCCTTGGAGGTCTTCTAGTCCAACCCCCTGCTCAAGCATGAGACCTTATACCATTTCAGGTAAATAATTGTCCAATCACTTCTTAAAAACTTCCAGGGATAGAGCATTTACAACTTCTGGATTAATTGTCCTCACTGTCAGGAAATTCCTCCTTAGTTCCAGGTTGCTTCTCTCCTTATTTAATTTCCACCCATTGCTTCTTGTCCTCCCCTCAGGGGCTTTGGAGAATAGCTTGACTCCCCCTCTTCTTTGGGGCAGCCCCTGAGATACTGGAACGTGTCACCCCTGGTCCTTTTTTCCCACTAGACTGGCCGAGTTTCTCTGTCCCCTCCCTTCCCCTCCTTAGGGCAGAGCAATCTCGGGTTTTCTTCTTTTACTTCCTCCTCCCTTGGCAGACTCAGCTGGTGTTGACCTAAGGGCTACTGAATACCTTTCTCAAGGCCATCTCGGTGTCCCTCAAAAGCAACCCTCTGCTTTCTTCCTCCCCTTATTCCCCACCCTCTCCTGTCCTCGCAGGGCTGAGCCCCTCCTCATCTGCTGCTGAAGCTTACTTACCCCTCCTATATACATATATATATATATACCCATAGCTTCTACATGAAACAAGAGCCTGAAGATGACAGGGTTGTGAGCCTGTCGAAACGTTGCTTTAAGAAAAACTTTTAAAGTCACTGGTAGGATTTTAGCTGAGGTTTTAAAGGACCTTGCAGAGTGCTCTGTAAGGATTTTTAGAAGATTTTAAGCTGGGATTTTAACCAGGATTTTAAATATTTTAACCAACTTATTTATAATGACGTGGGGAAACACCCGAGATTTTAATTTTTTGCATATGTATGTATGTATGTATGTATGTATGTATTTCTTTTCCGATCCCTTGCAGGATTTCTTCCCCCTGGCCGAAGGAAAATGGGCAACGTGGAAAGCAACGGCTCTTACCAGAAACACCTCTCCAGGTTTCTTCCCGATGAGCTCGCTGACGTCGATGGCGTTTTTAGCGCCTTATCTCGAGCGGACGAGGCCGTCGCCGTGAAGGTGGGGAAAAAGGCCCAGACTGGGGTGACCCTTGAAGCACTCAAGGTAAGGAAGCAATGGGCAAGGCTCCCTTAGGGTCATAAGTCGAGGACTGCCTATAATTTATTTGTTTATTATATTTTTTCCCCCTTGCCTTTATCTTATAAGTCACTCAAGGCGGCAAAATTTACATAATACCCCTTCCTCCTTCTCTTCCTCCTCCTTCTCTTTTTCCTCACAACAACAATTCTTCCCCCCCCCCCGGTAACAACAACCCTGTGAGGTTGTGACTCGGCCTGTGGCACATGCCAGAGGAGCTGTTCTAGGGTTTTGTTCTTCTGGTGACGGGGGTAAGCTACTTCTTACGGGTGGTCCTCGACTTACGACCGCAATTGAGCCCCAGATTTCTGCCGCTAAGCGAGACAGCTGTTAAGTGAATTTTGTCCCCATTTTACCACCTTGCTTGACGCAGCCGTTAAGTTGAAAACACGGCGGGTGGTTCAATTAGTAACCGCCCGGTCGTTGAGTGAATCCGGCTTCCCCCGCTGACTTTGCTTGTCAGGAGGTCACAAAAGGGGATCACGTGACACTCCCTCCCCCCCCGCCCCCCGAGGGCCACTGTGACCATCATAAACGAGTCAGTTGCCGAGCTTCTGAATTTTGAACAGTGGTCGTAAGTGGTCGTAAGTGTGAAAAATGGTCATAAGGTCCTTTTTTTCCCCAGCGCTGTTGTACCTTTGAACGGTCACTAAATGAACTGTCGTAAGTCGGGGACTAGGTATGTTTTTCTGGATGCCTTTGGTCCCTTTCCTAGGCCTACGTCAAGGATGCCCTGCCTCCATCAATGGTTACGAGACTGTACAATGGGATGAGGAGCCTCCAGGAGACTCACAATTCCCCCGAGCCCATCCCCTGCGTGGCGAAGGAGCAGTTCGTGGCCTTTGCCTCCATCCTCTTCAAGGGCAACGCCCAGGAAAAAAGTGGAATTGTCCTGAAGATGGTCTCAGGTACTCAGAAGGCTGTCAAGGGAAGCCAAATCCTGGAGGTAAGCGGGCCGACATCTCGCTTGCGTTCAGGGGGAAAGCAGAGGTCTGTTTCTTTATTTAGCACATGGCATCTCTCACCATTGATACGCAACCCTAATAAAAGACATTACGCATACAGACACAGATATATGTTGAACTAAAGCAGCAGGAAATAATAGAGTTTATATAAAGTATGTGAAAGTATAATTATTATTCTTCTTGTGCCATGTCTGTCATCAGACGTTGGCAATCCTATTTTGATCAACAGCCGCACGAAAAAATGCTGCTGAGTTTTGTCCAAACTGGTCCCTTAGATTTTGAAGCCACGATCATCTTCTTCTTCTGCCTGGACCTCGTTTGCCTTCAATCTTTCCCTGGAGGATTAAGTGAAGGATGCCGTATTTTTCCAGGTGTCGCATCCCATGTCCAAAATATTCTAACTTTCCCTCTTTTATGATTTTTTTATGATTTCCATTGGCTTTCCCAGGCAGCTTATCCCCCTCCTCATTTCTGATTTTGTCAACCCAGCTTATAGGTAACAGCCGCCTGTAAATTCCACATTTCAAATACTAAAATCTAATATATAAGGTAAGAATATTGTATTAAGGTAAAAACATAATAAAGTCTCCAAAATCTTTTCAGAGAAGCACTTTTTTGGTCCTTATGAGAGAGAGGACTTGTTTCTAGAAGCAAAAACATCAGAGACCATTTTTTTTAAAAAAAAAACACCTCATAGTGAGCCTTGGTAGTACAGGGGTTTAAGGCACCCTGTTATTAAGCTGGTTATTAAGACCAGCTGCCTGCAATTACTGCAGGGTTCGAATCTCGCCAAGGCTCAAGGTTGACTCAGCCTTCCATCCTTTCTAAGGTAGGTGAAATGAGGACCCAGTTTGTGGGGGCAATAAGCTGACTTTGTATAAATATACAAAAGGATGAAGGCTATTGCTGAGCACATTGTAAGCCGCCCTGAGTCTCCGGAGAAGGGCGGCATATAAATCAAATTAAAAAAAAATAAAAAATTGCCTCCTTGAAGTTTGCAGGGGATCTGATCACCTCCGTGGTCCACGTGCTAAGCTACAGGAAGCTGCTGAAAGGGTGGAATCCAAAGAAGCTGAATAATTCAGTCCCTGGGATCAAAGCCTTGGCTACTCAGCTGGCCTCTGAACTGAAGTCTGCAGGTGAGCTGCAAGCGCTCGTGTTATTAAGTTGTGACCTAAGCAACAGCAGGACGTAAAACAAAGCCTATCATAGGAAGAGTGAAAGAGCCATAATTTTCTGACTTAACATCCCTCATATACAGTAGTGGCCAAAATTGTGGAAATCTTTTGGGAAAAGTTGTATTTTCTAAAACTAGCTAATAACACCCCCTTTTTTTTGTGGGGGAGTAATACCATAAAATTACATATCAATGGAAAGATCATTTAATCAAGAATGTGATGCAATAACTTTTATGAAGGATTTGCTATTAAAAGAGCAGTTACAGTATAAAGAAGAAAAGTGAAACACGTAGAAAAAAGGAGATAGACAAAAATTATCACTATGTCAGTTAATACTTCGTTGAGTAACCTTTAGCATGAATTTACACAGCCTTACAACGTCTTCCCATGGAGGGAACCGAGTCTTTTAGTTCTGCAGCTGTTATCATGTGAAACCGAGATTGAAGGATTGCTTCTATTAACTGGGTTTTATTGCTGGGTTGCTTCTGACTAACAAGTTTCTTTAGTCCGATCCATCGATTTTCAATTGGGTGAAGGTCTGGGCTATTCCCAGGCCATTCCAGCAGTGGAATAGGATTATCTTGAAACTCCAAAGAAAAAAAGTGGTGTTATTAGCCATCAAACCTCAAAAATACACTTTTCCCCAAAAGGTTTCCACAATTTTGGCCACTACTGTAGGTAGTCCTTGGCTTAAGGTCTGTTTGGTTATGACGGACTCCCATCCAAAAGTACTTATAACCCAGTTCTGGAGTTCTGGTGGCAGCACACTCATCCACTCCTGCAGTTTTTAGGAAGTATTTTGTTAATGTTAAGTCTCTTTGACTGGTTTCTGGCAAAAACAACAACAACCCATTCACCCATAGGAACGAATAACTGATGTGTTCACTTTAGGACCGCCACATTCATTTTACGAGCCCCACAAAAAGAAAAAAGTGTAAAATTGGGTTAGTCACTGGGAGGCCTCAATTTACAATGGTCATGACTTATGATGAAAATTCCAGACTCCATTCCACAGAGAGAATAGAATAACAGAGTTGGCAGGGACCTTGGAGGTCTTCTAGTCCAACCCCCTTCTTAGGCAGGAAACCCTACACCACTTCAGTCAAATCATCTTCTTAAAAACTTCCAGTGTTGGAGCATTTACAACTTCTGGAGGCAAGTTGTTCCACTGGTTAATTCTTCTAACTGTCAGGAAATTTCTCCTTAGTTCTAAGTTGCTTCTCTCCTTGATTAGCTTCCACCCATTGCTTCTTCTCCTGCCTTCAGGTGCTTTGGAGAATAGCTTGACTGCCTCTTCTTTGGGGCAGCCCCTGAGATCCATTATGGTCATAGGTTGAGGATTACCTGTTGAATCCACTCTGAGACAGGCAGATGTTATATTAGGGTTAGGGGAATTCTGGGAGTTGAAGTCCACCCCTCTTAAATGGAGAAAGCCTGACATTTGGTATGTATATAGTATGTGGGTTTCGTCTTGCCAAATTCTGATTTGGCCCTGGCCAAACCCATCTCTCTTGCTTCAGAGGGGAAGAAGATGGAGGGAGACTCTGTCCTGGATGCCGCGTGCGACCAAAACAGCCTGGAGGATTGGCTTTTCCGAGTCCCACAGATCTCCACCTTCCTCAAGGTGGTGCTTCAGCAGGGCCTGCTCCTCCTGCAGCCTCTCTCCGACGAAGCCGACGAGACCCTCCGTCTGCTGCCGGAATGCAGAGGCCTGCAAGGGTCCGCCTTCGTCAGCCTGCTCGACCTCCCCTCCATCACCTACCTCAATGCCCACCTGCCTTCTGAACTTCGGGATAAGTGGCAGCTGCTCTTCGCCTCCGGGATCCACGGCGAGAGCTTTACCCAGCTGTGCGGACATGTTGTCAACAAAGGGCCCTGCCTCCTGGTCCTGAAGGACACCGACGGCTACATCTTCGGCGGGTTTTCCTCCTGTTCCTGGGAGGTAAAGCCCCAGTTTCAAGGTGAGGTCCTTGGAATTCAAGGTGAGATGAAAGGTTGTCCCCAGGCTGCAGAATTGTCCATAAATTAGACCATGTAAAGTTATAAATGGATTTTTCATGCATTAAGTTAGCAGATTTTAAGTGCCGTATTTTTCGGAGTACAAGACACACCTTTTTCCCTCCTAAAAGAGGCCGAAAATTTGGGTGCGTCTTATCCTCCGAATGTAGCTTTTTCAAAGCTTTTTTTCAGCCCTAACGAAGCCCTAACGAGGCACTAGATCTCTGACTCTCAGCTGTTCTTTAGAAGCTTTTTTTCAGCTCTAATGAGTGAAGCATCCCCCCCCCTTTTGCCTGCTTTTCTCATTGCTGCTTCCTCTCAGCTATGCCTCAGAAGCTGTTTTTTATCCCCAAGTAGGGGATAAAAAAACAGCAAACGAATGTGCTGAAGCTGACCAGATTTAAGGACGATAGCCAGATGAATATCTGGTAGGCATATATTTTTTTTTCCTATTTTCCTCCCCAAAAAGTAAGCTGCATCTTATACCAAGTGTGGTACGTTGGTTCAAAAATTGTTGCTGTGCAGTGCACCGTCTGGGCTCTCTTGAGGGCGCAAACAGACAAACGGATAACCACAAAATGAGAGTTTTAGTGGTAGATAAGTAGATACACCCATGCATACACAAACTGTGACAGCTGTTGCTATCCACTAGGTGGCACTCTTCTCTTAGAAGAAACTTCCAACAGCTAGCTCTCCCGTCAAAATGGGAAAGGAATGAGGACTAGCCACTTCACTTTTTCCAATTAGGCTCTGCTGGGATGCCTCTTTTCTGTTTTCCTCTCTCTGGTCCGTAACTCTTCATTCATTTGTTTCTCACAGGAAACAACACATGTTTTTTGTTCTCCATTTCCCCCTCGCTGGCAGTCTTCACCTGCAGTGGCTACAATAACCACTACATGTACCTCAATCACGGGCAGCAGACCATGCCGAACGGACTTGTGAGTAACAAACAGTGAGCTGTTCGAGTTTGCTTTGGCCCCAAGGCTTTGCCCATGATGGCTTGTACAGCTACCCATGCTTTGAAAATGTGTCAAAACAGGGGTCTCCAACCATGGTAACTTTATGACTTGCGGACTTCAACTCCCAGAATTCCTCAGCCAGCTTGTAGACTTCAACTCCCAGAATTCCTCAGCCAGCACGAGGACTTCAACTCCCAGAATTCCTCAGCCGGCACGAGGACTTCAACTCCCAGAATTCCTCAGCCGGCACAAGGACTTCAACTCCCAGAATTTCTCAGCCAGCTTGTAGACTTCAACTCCTAGAATTCCTCAGCCGGCACGAGGACTTCAACTCCCAGAATTCCTCAGCCAGCTTGTAGACTTCAACTCCCAGAATTCCTCAACCACCATGTGGACTTCAACTCCCAGAATTCCTCAGCCGGCACGAGGACTTCAACTCCCAGAATTCCTCAGCCAGCTTGTAGACTTCAACTCCCAGAATTCCTCAGCCAGCTTGTAGACTTCAACTCCCAGAATTCCTCAGCCAGCTTGTAGATTTCAACTCCCAGAATTCCTCAGCCAGCACAAGGACTTCAACTCCCAGAATTTCTCAGCCAGCTTGTAGACTTCAACTCCCAGAATTCCTCAGCCAGCTTGTAGACTTCAACTCCCAGAATTCCTCAGCCAGCACAAGGACTTCAACTCCCAGAATTCCTCAGCCAGCTTGTAGACTTCAACTCCCAGAATTCCTCAGCCAGCACAAGGACTTCAACTCCCAGAATTTCTCAGCCAGCTTGTAGACTTCAACTCCCAGAATTCCTCAGCCAGCACGAGGACTTCAACTCCCAGAATTCCGTGGCTGGCTGAGGAATTCTGGGAGTTGAAGTCCACAAGTCGTAAAGTTACCATGGTTGGAGATTTCTGTGTCAAAAGAGACATTCTGGACTTTCTGCAATTGGCAAACCTTCTCCGCTGTTCATTGAGGCAGCTGACTTTCAGTGTCCTTGCCAAGGTGAGACTAGGGTGCCCAAACTTCCATCAAATCCGATGTGGCTCCCAGAGAGGCTGGTTTAATGAGTAGCAGACATCCAAAGCTCTTCTCCCCAATCATTTTTTAAGCGTATCCAGCTTTTGCTCTTAGCTAATTTTTTAAAAATGGATTACAGGTAGTTCTCAAGTTGCAATCTTTCATTTAGTGACCGAATGGCACTGAAAAAACCCCCCGGCACTTACGACCACTTTTCATGCTTATGACCGCTGCAACCTCACTTGTGGTTCCATGATCAAAATTCGGAGACTTGGAAACTGGTTCATATTTATGACGGTCGCAGCATCCTGGGGTCACGTGATTCCCCTTTGGCAGGCTTCTGACAAGCATAATCAGTGGGAAAGCCGGATTCGCTGAACATCCATGTTTCCAACTTAATAGCCGCAGGGATTCACTTAACAGCTATGGCGAGAAAGGTAAAGTGAGCCAAACTCGCTCAACTGTTAATTGGGCTCGACTGTGGTCATAAATCAAGGGCTACCTGTAATCCTTGCAGGTGTTTCCATTGGCTGGAGGTTCATTCTTGCATTCTCCTAACTTTTTCCTATATCTACAGACTTGATCACATGCCTGCCTTTTTTTTTTTTTTTTTTCCTTCCAGGGCATGGGAGGTCAACTCGAATACTTTGGCCTCTGGGTGGACAGTAACTTTGGGCAAGGCCACAGCAAAGCCAAGCCTCGGTGCACCACGTACAACAGCCCTCAGCTGTCGGCCAAGGAGAACTTCCTGCTGGATTCCATGGAGGTGTGGGCCGTGGGAGACCTCCCGGAAGCCAAAAATGTAAGTCTTGCCACTCCGAGCAAAGCCACCTTAGGTGGTGATGTAAACTTCCTGTTTGGGCAGGAGTCTTGCCTGCTCCGTAGTAGGGCATGAAATCCATAAGTCCAAAGTTGGCTTAAGCTTCTCGTTTGCACCCTGGGGAGAAGCCGAAGGGGTCCTGCAGCAGAAAATGGAAAAGTTCCCCAAGATTGGGGTTGCATGGAAGTCAACCAAAAACATGACCAAGCTAGGAAGAGAAGAAGGGGAGGGGAAACAGGGCCTATAGGGCTGTGCTCAGGGGTGAAATGCTATCGGTTTGGGCCTCTTCACCCGAACTGTTTATCTAGCCCTTGGTTCATGGGGTGAGCCAACCCATCAGCTTCAATCATCACATGGTTGACTTGCTTGGACCGTAGCCCGTTGAGGTGTTTTGTTAACCTAGGCTTCATAGGTTGTGCATATTCAGTCTCTTCCCATCCATGGAGTTCCACTCCGAGCAAGGCAGATAGGTTAATGCAGGACATGGACTCTTAAATTCTCAGGTATTTGGTTTCTAAGATCTTTTATGCAACTGGCAGGCTTTGTGTATCTTGATCTCTGGCTTAGCAGCTGCATTTTCTCTTTCTTTTGAACAACTTGAATAATAATAATAATAAAAAAAATCAGTGTACTTTGATTCCTTCCTCCCCCGTGGCGCCCCAGCTCCAAGAGACTTACTTAACTGACTTAATTGGCTTTTTCTGGCAGCTCTTGTCATCTGACCTAACCTGTTTCACTGATCAGGTCAAAGCAGAACCTTTCCATGTTTGCCAGGCGGTAGGAGGGGCAAGGAATCCACCCAACTGCTTTAGCTCAGGTTTCAGGAACAAACATAGTCGGTCAGAGCTGGTTGCAGCCCAGATCTGCTCACCTTCAGCTGTGGTGGTTGTTTTGTTTTGTTTCCCCAACCTCTCTTCTGGGTTTGACTTTAGGGAAAAGGACAGAAGAGCATCTTAGACGCCGACCCAGAGGCCCAAGCTTTGCTAGAGATGATGGGGAAAAGCCGCCAGAGTGATGGGTTTCGGAAACCACCTGATGATGATGAAGACAACTGAGATCTCGTCTTGGAAACTTTTCCCTCCCCCTCAAGTCTGACCAGGATTTTGCTGGAACATCTTCCAAGCTTTCTATTTTCCACATGGCGGTATCCGTGGCCCAATCTCTTAAGCGTGATGAGATTTGGTTAAATAACAATTGGTGTCTTTACAAACTTTGGACGTATTATCTGCAGGGTGTCCCTGTGTGTCCCGTTCCCCCCCCCGGGATTGGGTGTGTATTGTTCTAAATTCAGGACCTTCTTCTTTTCACCTTATTCACATTTATTATGGGTGCAAGCCCATCTCAGGGGACTCCCAGATTTCTGGTGGAAAAGTATTCCTTGGAGGGACCCCAGTTCACTCACAAGAGTTGTCGAAACTCAATGTCTTCCGTGCAAATCAATCCGTATTTTGTTGGGAAAATTTAAATGCTCCGTAAAAAGCATATTTGGGGTCTGTTGAGGTGCCATATCCGGAAATCAGGATTTCATATCTGAATTCATTGAACCAATATAAACGATTGGATCAGGCTCAGCCTGAGTCTTTTTTAAGACCGGACAAATGTTGGCTGTGAATTTCTAGCTTCATGAGCTAGCAAAAAAGCAGACTCTTAATGTGTGAATCCAGCCAATGTTTTTTTTTTAAAAAAAAATCCTAATTGAACACCAAGATCGCAATACCCCATTGACCCAACCCCAGAAGACACCAAGGGAGACTTAACAAGTCTTTATTAACAAGTGTCTTTATTACATCTTAAATAAATAAAAGGCAGGTGATTCCTCAATTTTGGGGCCTGTTTTGAAGGGGGACACAATTGTCAGACGACTTAGATGGAATCCAGGCATCGTTTTAACTTTGCAGGACCGGATAGTGGCTGGTGATCAGAAAACCGGATCAGCCTGTGATAAGAGTTGTGGGGACCTTCCGAGATTAGAAGAGACCCGTATTACTCCCAAGGGATTTGCAGAATCTGACATTTCCTTTGAACCCAATTGGAGGACAAGGTTGCAGCCACGCCAGGTTAACCAGATAGGAACCATTCACGACCCGATGAGCTGATTCCACTTCGTTGTGAGGCTACATGGGCAGAACCTTTCAAGTCTGGAAATCCAGGTCTTCTGCCGTCACCTTTACAGCCTGAGAAACTAGGGAGGGTCTCTTCTGAATGTCTTTTCCCAATCCATTATGCAGCTGAGGGCTACTCGGTCTCTTATTTGACCGTTCCTTTGGCCCCGCGCCCGATGGTCTTTGCCCTCGTGCTGTTGGCATCCTGTTCGTTCAGACCATTTCCAGTGGTCTGTGATCTGCCTTCGACCTGCAACAATATTTCTCGCACACTTTGACCAGTTCCGAGAGGATGAAGACGGAAGACGCTAGGGCGGTGAGGAACAAGAGGTCTGTCAAGAGAAGGAAATGAAAGGGTTACTAATACGGAGAGCAAAAACACCAAGGTGGCATCAGTTGGCAACCGAGAATCAATTCAACTTCCATTGAAACTGCATTTTGGAGGGTTACAGTTTCTTACAGTGGATGGCAGCCATAAGGACGCTGACACGAAAATAAAGAGGAGGATAATGTCTCCCCTGAACCTCGTCATTTTCACGGTTCACGTTTTTTGAAGGTTGCCATTTAGACTTGTCGAAAAGGAAAGACGGGCGATTTTGAAAACGAGCTGCTTTCTCTTCCGTTCCCGAGGCTTAGAAGCTGAGTTTCGCAGACCGTGTGATTAGGGTCCCAGCGATCTATATAACCGAGAGCTTTTATTTGGAAAGATTGAAATTCCTCCTTCGAAAGGGTAGCTCTGGGACTTACCCAACACTCGTAAATTCTCTGTCTGGAAGATCTTTTGCAGGGGAGGGATGTAAATAACAGCCATTTGACCCAAAATCGATCCTACCACCGAATATAAGAACATGCGGTTTCGGAAAAGACCGATTTCTAGTATCAATTTCGTCTGGAGGAGAAAAAGGAAGATCAGATCGTTCAATAAGTCATTTGGTCTTTTTTTCTTTTCTTTTCTTCTGTGAACCCAGCCTGTTGTTTTTTTTCAAAATAGTTTTTTTTTTAAAAAAACAAATCAGATGATTAATTAAACCAGGTATTCGATAGATCAATGCAACGTCAATGCAGGTATTTTTTAAAGCAGGTGCTTTTCTTACTATTGTTGGCATCAATAAGGAAGTTCAAGGAGTGAATTTTGAGTGAATTTAGTATTTCTCCTGCAAGTGCCAATTTGCTGTTTTGTATTTAGAAGGAGGGGAGAAAAAAACCCCTTCAGATGTCTTAAATGTACATACATGTTTAATCTGCAGTCTGGTCATATATCCTAACAAACCAGAGTCTGCTTGGTTTACTTCGTAATATGAAGTTAAGCATGCTTGTTTAACCACGATTTATGGCTTAATACAATATAGGGCTGCAGTAAATTATGGTTTACTTAGCATCCGAGGTAAAGCAAACCATGACTTACTGTGATGCATGAAATTAGCCTTTAACTTTTCTTTTACTGAGACAAAATAAAATTAGCAGTTCCCTGTTCAAATTCTTTCAAAGATGCAGTGACTCTTTGTTGAGGGTAGCAAGGTATGAAATCACTCTATGCTCCTGCTAAATTGTTCTTGCTTTGACTTTAAACAATTCCCCTACCCTCCGTATCTTGTCTTGAATGCTCCTGTCCAGTTTGACTAATGCTTTGTTACAGATTCACCCCAAGAATTTTATTTCATGTCCAGAAATCTTCTACCTCAAATGACTGGAGAAACACTAAAACAGGAGACTGTTGAGCTTATTAAAAGAAACGCGCTAGATCTCTCTCTCTCTCTCTGCCTCTCTCTCTGTAAATAATACACATTTCCTGCTTTTCCAATCAGTAACTTTCAGTTTACCGAAAACAGGGTTATAACCATTGTGCCATAATAGCATTCCTAGCAAAAACAATTCTAGAAGATGTTGGAGACCGACAGGCAAATTTTTTTAAAAAATGGAATTCTTACTTTAAAGCTGGTTGTTGTGCTTGCACAAATATGTATTTTGATGCTGTAGCTTTATAGATAGTTGTTTAATTTAAGCTTGTATGTATTGTATGTGTATCCTCACGCATGCACACTTGTGCACGTCTACATTCACACACAGGGAATTTTGGGTTCAGTAAGACTTAGCCACAGGAAAGAAAGGAAAGGAAGCAATTGATTGTTATTTTCCTGGGTCTGGATGGTGGGAGGCCACGGCACAACAGTCAGGGAATTGTTTAGTGGGAGTATAGCAATAGCACTTAGACTTATATACCGCTTCATAGTGCTTTTACAGCCCTCTCTAAGCGGTTTAGAAATGTCAGCCTATTGCCCCCAACAATCTGGGTCTTCATTTTACTGACCTCGGAAGGGTGGAAGGCTGATTGAGCCGGTCAGGATCGAACTGCTGGCAGTCGGCATTCAGCAGCACTGGCCTGCAATTCTGCATTCTAACCACTGCGCCACTGGGGCTAAACTAAGAGAGGAGCAATTTAAGGGGACAGCACAGTTCCTCCCAGCTTCTCTCCCCAAGGAAAACAAAAATCAAGCCGGCTCTTGTTAAAAAGAGCCTTGATAGTACAGTGGTTACGTACCCTGTTATTAACACAGCTGCCTGCAATTTACTGCTGGTTCGAATCTCGCCAAGGCTCAAGGTTGACTCAGCCTTCCATCCTTTCTAAGGTAGGTGAAATGAGGACCCAGTTTGTGGGGGCAATAAGCTGACTTTGTATAAATATACAAAAGGATGAAGGCTATTGCTTAACGCATTGTAAGCCGCCCTGAGTCTCCGGAGAAGGGCGGCATATAAATCAAATTAAAAAAAAAAAAATGTTGTGCATGTTCCTAGTTTGCAAAGCCCTTTTCTTTCTCAATGGACTCTGCTGAATTAGCTTCCACTCACCTGAGAACGACAGGTCAGGGCGTTGAAGAGGTCAAAGAAAACAAAACAAGTGAAAGTCATTGTTGTCGTGCGGGGCGTTATGCCACTTTCCGGAATCTGGAAAGGCAAGGTGATAAAACGTCTTTGTAAAAGAGGAGGAAGAGAAAACTTGAGTGTCAGCATAAATGCTAAAGCTCCCCCCCCCACCTCACAATGAACCTTTTGTTGGTAAAGTCATAATCGCCTTGAAAACGGGTTGCCCTTCTTTTGAGAAAGATTTAGAAGGAAGGCAGTAGTGCCAAAGCATATAAATATCATGGGCATAAATCCATACCTGCTGACAGACGAGCCACCAGAAGATCGATCAAAGCTTAATGCAAAAAAAAAAAAAAAAAACCCAATTTTGCCACTCTGGCAATTTCCACCTGCAAAAAGTGCAAATGGCGCTTTTTTTTTTTTTAAAAAAAAGGCAACTGGACTTAATTTGTTTTTTCTCTTGAAGACGTTTTGCTTCTTGTCCAAGAAGCATCTTCAGTTCTGACTGCATGGTGGCGAACGGAAGGATTTCTATTCCTTGCAGTCCTCTGGTCGTTAGCGCTCTCTCTGAGAGTCACTGAGGTTTATCTGCGCCCTCAGGCTCACCTGTAGAGTGCGAACGGATGCAGAGCCTATTTGGAACTGCTGAATCGTCTTCCAGGAAATCTCAAAGGTGCTTTTTCCGAAGGCAAATGGACTTCCTTTGTTTTTGCTTGAAGACGTTTCGCTTCTCGTCCACGAGGCTTCTTCAGTTCTGAAGAAGCTTCTTGGATGAGAAGCGAAACGTCTTCAAGAGGAAAAAAAAACCCCAAGAAAGTCCAGTTGCCTTTGGAAAAAAACAGCTTTGGGACAACCCTGACCTAGATGACTGAGAATGTCCATAGACGCCTGCAAAAAACGTACATCTCTTTATTGAGAAAGGCTACTGAAAAAGAAATTGTGTGTCTTCAAAAAAAACCCACTTTGGTCTGGAGTTTCAAATTCAATTTGAACATCCTCATCCTGAATGCAAATCCAGAGCCAAGTAGCGAAGGCTCATTCTTTGAGTTGGTTGCGTTAAAGGAGGAAAAAATTCACGTTAACGAAATGCGCACATGAAGGAAAGTACAGCAACGGTGTCAAAAAAGAGTGATGCAACCAGGAATGGTTTTACAATCATCTACTACGATCTCACCTCCTTCCAAAAGACGTACATGGTCCCCAGGATGATAACAGTTGCCGAAAGGATAATTTTTAGAATCAGGGA